GTACAACAGCATCATAACATTGACTCCTGTTCAGTGGGTGGTCCCTAACCATGGTCTTTTTCTGCTGTACTGCAGCTTAATCTGTCTTTGTGCATTTGATTTTTCCTTCTTACGCATAATACTTTGCAGTTTTTTTTCAAACTGAATTTCATCTTACTCCACTTTGGTCCTTTTCCCCAGTGTATCAGAATCATTTTGAATTCTAAACCTGACCTCCCAAAGTGCTTGCAACCTCTCCCTATTCAGTGTCATCCACAAAGTGTAAAGTATTCTCTCTCTTCTGTCATCCTCATGGTTAATGAAAGTATTAACCAGGGCAGATATCAGTGGGAACCTGCTTGATATGTCTGTTTGACACGACACTATAGATAAGTACACTCCGAGTCTGGTTTTTTTAACCCACCTTATGGTGATTTCATGTAGATCCTATTTCCTTAGGTTTCCGCTGATAATGTCATGAGACTATTAAAAGCTTTACAGAAGTCAAGAGATATCCCATCTATTGCTTTCACCACCTGCTAGTCCAGTTACCCTGTCAAAGAAGTAAATTACACTAGTTTAACATAGGTTTTCTTGACAAATCTATGATGGCTGTTTCTTATCCACTTATAAACCTCTGGGTACTTAAACTGATTGATTAATAATACGCTCCAGTGTCTTTCTGTTAGTCTGGTGTATATTCCCCAGACCCTCCTTTCCCCCCTTTTAAAGACAGGGGCTGTGTGTGCCTTGTTTGTCTTCCTTGACTACACGTGTCTGCCAGGAGTTTTTGAAGATAATCGCTAGTGGTTTAGAGATTGCTTCAATACTCTAGGGTGAATTTCAATGGCCCTACTGACTTGAATGCATCCAACTTGCCTGAATATTCTTTAACCTGTTCTTTTTCTATTGCATCCTGTAGTCCTACTCCCTTATAGATAATGATAACGGTGTTACATTCTACTCACAATTAACCTCCGCGTGCACCTGGATTGGAGCGGGGCTGGTGGCAGGGGCTATGGGGAGTTTTAGGGTGGCTGCAGCCCCCCATGGCCCCTGCTCCACTGCACTCTGTGGGGCCAGGGAGCCAGGGCTGTGCTCCAGGCTGCGGCTGGAGCTAGCCGCCTGGAGTGCAGCCCTGGATCTGCCCACCCTGCGGAGCACAGCCTGAAGGCAGGCAGCTGGGGCTAGCCTCCTGGAGCGCAGCCTGGCTCAGTCCTTCCCGCACAGACCCAGGGGCACATTCCACTCCCAGACCCTCCCAGGCTGGTGGTGTGCAGTGGCAGGAGCCCCCCTCCCCGAGTCCTGCTCCCCCCACCCCAGCTGGGCAGCTTGTCCCAGCCCTAATCTCTCCCTTGGTGTGGGGGCATTGATCTGACCCCCCCACACACCCCTTCCCTCCCCACTTTGTCCACCACAACAGACTTACCAGCTGGAGGCAGCTGTGTCCAGTGTGGTCAAGGACTGCTGCCTGTTTAATCTATGGCTGAATCTCCAAATCAGCACCAAATCTTTTCCGAATCGATTTGGAGCCTTCTGACTGGATTCAGAGCTTTTAATGGGTCTCCCGATTCGATTTGGCTGCTGAATTAGGCCTAATCTCCTCCAAATCGAATTGGCTACTGAAGCTTTGCACTGCCCTATGGAAGAAATGCAGGCATATGCCTGCAGTGGCTCAGGCTAGAAGTCAGGGGGTGCTAGAGCAGCCCTCCCTTCCTGTCCACAGCGCTGAGCTAAGGGGGCGCATGGCCAGGCCCCGGCAGGATGCTCTGATAAGGGAGGGGTTCCCCCACTCCTGACCAGCGAGGGAGCCAGCAGGGAATTGATAACAGAACATTTAGTTACATAGCAAGGAGTTACTCAGGGAGTTGTTAGCATTTCAGCCCATCAAAACAGAACCAAAGCATCTCTCATTCGTTCAAGCTCTTCTTATATAACTTTTCCAAGGAAGGAATGGAAGGACATTACCAGCTACCTGTAGATTAACTCCAAAAAGCCCTAAGTCGACACTGTCCTGTCTGCCTTTGCCCTGTCTCCCACAACACAGACTGTAGCCAGCATGTGGTATGCTAGCTAGTGCTGAGAGGTGTCTGTGTAAGGCAGAGGGGTAGGGGAATCCCTGCTTGAGCAGGGAGAAGTCGGGGGAGAGCAGGAAGAAGCCAGGCAGATGCTGCTGTACAGGTTGTCCTGGGCCGGGAGTGAGTTAGGCCACTGAGGCACTGGCCCAGCATTGCTCTTCCCTCCTGGCTGACTGGTCCACCTGCTCCCTGGATTCAGCCACTCCCCAGCTCCAAGGTCCAACAGCTCCACCAAGAGGGGATGGTCCCTAGCCATGGCACCACACAGCCTCCCCCAGCCTTTCCATCCTCCTGGCTTTATTGCTCCTGGGATAAGAGTCTCTGTGTCAGCTATGGGAGATGCTTCACATCTCCCAGTTGCCTTGGGAAGCCAAGCCCTGGCAGCTGCTCCCAGCTTCCCACCCCAGCCAATACCCAGCTGCGATTCTCTCTGCAACATGTGGCTCAATTGCATGCCCGGCCTCAGCTCCCACTCCACGGCTCCGGGACTGTGGCCGGGTTGGTTAGCAGGTGAACTGGCCACTGCCCAGCTCACCCTGGGCACACACAGTAAGACTCTCCCTCTGATTTTTTTCCAGGGGGCCCCTGGGCCCATGTGTTAATCTGCCTGTGTAAGAAAGGCATCAAACATTTCCGCCTTCCCTGAGTCATCCATTCTCCCTCATCTTCCTGGTTAGGTAATGGACCTCTACTTTCCTTCATCTTTCTCCTACATCCAATGCATTTATAGAACCTGTTCTTGCTAACTTTTACATTCATTGGTACCTGTAATTGATTCTGTGCCTCAGCCTTTCTGATTCAGACCCCGCATGCTTGAGCTATTTGTTTATACTTCTCTACAGCCATCTGACTTTGCCTCCATCTTTTTTTTTTTTTTTTGCCCATTGCCATTTTGATTTTTAACCTGAAGCAGACACATCAGTCTCTTTCTGGACCTCCTTTCAGGTCTTATTTTGCATCCATCTGCATTTGTGGGGTTTTAGCTAGGTCAGGGGCGGGCAATTATTTCGGGTGGAGGGCCACTTACTGAGTTTTGGCAAGCTATCGAGGGCCACATTTCCCTCTCTGGCTCAGGGAAGCAGGAACAGCCACATGGTCCTAGGCCAGGTCCTGCCACCAGCTTCCCCTGGGTACTACTGCCCCTGGCTCCTGTCATCTTTGACAGGCAGCCAGGAGCAAATAAATATTAATTTTCTAAATTTTTTAGGGGCCCCATGGGCCAGATAGAATGGCCTGGCGGGCCGGATCTGGCCCCCGGGCCGTATTTTGCCCACTGACTGAGTGTTTTCTTACTTGTACAAAGTCGGGCTCTTCACTTATGTAAACATGGAGTCGTTTACATGTACAGGATAAATAGGTGCAGGGTGGTGGAAATATAAAGCCATCTTATATATCTTTTCCAAGGGAGGTGGTGGGGTCTTCAAGAAGAGACTGGACAGGCACCTGGCTGGGATCACATGATCCCAAGTTGGGTGACCCTTTTCTTGCCTGCCAGGGGGCCGGACTAGATGGCCCACTGAGATCCCTTCTGACCCTAGAATCTATGAATCGATGAATCTAGCAGCCTGGGGGGACTCAGTGATAGAGACTGAAAAATTTTCCACCCTATTTATATCATGCTGGTTTAACAACTTAGTTGCTGGCATTTCCAGCTAACCTGTGCATGCACAGAACAAGCAGGTTTTTATCAGAACATTGTCTAAAAATATTTGATCCATTAAAACAACAAAGCATCTAGAGCCTGACTCAATGCCCACTGAAGTGAGCTCCAGATCAGGATATTTTGAATGGCCCCTCTGATCCAGTGCTGGGAGTTGAGATGCACTGGCTCCAGTCCTGGACTAAGTCCCTTTCTCTGCACTTCAGCTTCTGCTTTGCCGGAGGCTACATTAACACTTGCTGACACAATGCTTTGAGGTCCTCAAAGGAAAAAGGCTACGGTATGGAGTTGTGACCATTCATGGCTAGGACCTGCACATGCAGGTGTCTGGATTGACCGAGGCATTAAGGGGTGAGAGGTCTTTTCTCGCAGCTGTGCTGCATCTTGCCAGGGAGCCTAGAGGACACAGCCAGCTGCTGAAGCCCCCTTTTCAGGTGTTCTTCACAAGCAGGGGATGCATGGGGTTTTACCTTGTGGTGGGGCTTCCCTTTCTCCTGGACAAGTGTCTGGATGCCCTCTCACCAGTAATTAAAGCCATCTCCACCTTAAAGGATGGTGGGGACAGGATCTCTTCAGAGTTGTGATGGGTATGGAAATGCAGATAGGAGCTTCTCCGGGGTAGGGAAGAAGGGGTGGGAAAGACCATCCTATGTTCAGCAGTATTTTTGCCTGGGGTGGCAGTGCACCAAGGATATTCTTGATGTTCATTAGTAAACCTCTCAAAGTCCCTTCCAGGGGGCTGAAGGTGTGTTTGTGGGGATGGGCGGGGGGAAGAAGGTGGAGAGGAAGTCTGCAAGGTGCTGTGTAGGAATCAAGGGTCCATGGTGCAGGACAAGAGGGATGTGGCACCTTGGGGAACAATGCAGAGGTCCCCAGAGTGTACTTGGTGAGAGGTATTTTTTTTCTTCCTAGGGGGATGCTCTTGGGTGCCTCTGTGCTGGGGCCTGTGCCAGTGCCAGGGCTTTACATGGCTCTACAAGATGATGCAAGATCCCTTTGGGAACATATCGGGGACATGTATATGCTCAGGACAGAGGAATTATCGTATAATTCAGGAGGCGCAGGAGCCAGTCAGGTCTAGGGCCTGAAGGGGAGAGGCAAATAATGCAACAGAAATATAACCGACAGGTAGCTTGTTTGCACTGGCTATCAACATGGGACTTTCCTCCAGCCCCCGGCAAGCTCAGGAGCAGAGAGAAACGCCTGTGGGCTCTTGCACAGCAGATCTGTTACTGAGGTCGGCCTGAGAAGCAAATTTTGCTCCTAAACTTATGCTTCCACAGGCTCCCGGGGTGCTCAGATGTGGGATTTTCATTCAGGTCACATCTGTATGGCATGCAGTTCTGCCAAGTCCTGATGTGGGTACGATAGGTGGAGAAGTGCCAAGCAAACAGGTCCCCACCACGAACGGCCGAGAGCACAAATCCATTATTTTGGCAGAGCCCCCCCACTGCAGTCTCCTAGGACTCTGCTGTTGTCTCATCCCCGTCGCTGCAGAAACGTGCTCGATGAGGGTTAACTTAAACTGAATCAAACTCCAAACCCCGAGGTTGGAAGACTTCCCGGTCAACTCACTACTACCACATACCATGGTGTGAATGGAGGCGAGAGGGAAGATGAACGCTTTTCAGAGAGACGTATCCAAGGAAACTTTGTTCACTTCCATTTCTGCAGGAGACGATGCCCCCAAAGGAGCTTGCACTTTGCAGAAAAAATCCCCGGTGAGTACAACATTTGGTTTCCTTTTCCCCCCCACCCCCCTTTGCTTCCTGCTCTGTTCCCTCTCGCTGTCTGGGGATCTCTGTGTCCTTTCCTCTGCTGCGCTTTGTGCAGACTGACAAAGCACCCTTCTTGCATCAGGTTGGAAAGTGCATGAAAAACTGGAGGCAAAACCTCACCCACTAACCTGATTAAGCAGAGAAAGGGCAGCTTAAGGGAAGGGGCTGCAGGGGTGGGGGTGGAAATGAGCTGTCAGTCTTTGGGGAAAATGCAATGCTGATTTCTGCCTCTTTTTTTCTGAAGACTCAGTCCTGTGCAGGACAGCGGTTCTGAAATAAAGAAGCACGGTGTGCGAGGGGGGGGAGCAGGGAACCGGACTGTTTATTTTCTTAGCTTGGTCAAGAGTCACTACAGACGCAGCTTATAGATCCTGCCAAGCCATGGGAGTGACATGATCCTAGCGCTGGCCGTAGACACGTATTCCAGGGCTCCCTCTCTAGGAGTGAGAGTTGCAGGTTTAAATCTTCAGCCAGATCCTGCTGAGCATTTTCATGTCACCCTTCTTTGAATGTCCGTGCCGATCGCCAGGCGGATTCTCGCCAAGCAGCTGGAGCCTACACATTTTTTGCCAATTCCCTTGAGCTCAAATGTTGCCCTTCCTGCTGCTTTGATGAAGATTTTTTTTTTCGGGGGTGGGGGAGCCATGAAAACTGATGCTGCTCGCTGCAGGACAGAATAGTTGCATTTGCTCTAAATTTCCCCTGTGACTTGCATTTGCCACAGTCCCGATGCATAGCCCTTACCTAAAGGAATCAGAACTTGTGGTAGAGGTGATATCTTTTATGAGACCAAGTAGTGGTGGTCTAATGAAAGAGATCACCTCTACCTCGAGTTCTGCTTCCTTTTGCCTCCAGACCAATACGGCTACAACCTGGATACCCAGCCCTTATCTAGTTTTTTTACCTTTTTAAAGCAGCTCCAGGATCACTAAAGCTCCCGGGAAGTCAGTCTATTTTATTAATCCCATTTTACAGATGCAAAGGGATGGTAAAGCTAACATTATCAAACACAGATAGTTCAAAATGAGCACCTATAACACTGATTCCCTCCAAGGGTGCTGCAGGGTGTCTTGAGATCCTTTCAAGGGTGACACGGGGTGCCAAACATTGTCAGCACTGTTAAGTGTGCAAATACAATTCACAAGATAAACCCTGAGATTTTAGGAGTCCATGGTGCCAAAAACACTCTGCCCTCAACACTTTGCAGGCTTTCTGAATGCTTTGCAGCAGAAGAATTGCTCTAGTATTTTTCTGTAGTCAAAAATGAGTGAAAAATAAGAGCTGGTATTTTCCAAGCGGCGCCTCGAGCCTAAAAAATGTTGAGAACCGCTGTCCTACAACAACGTATTGGCATGTTTTGGTGCCCAGATGTCTGGAATCCAGTTATTGCTCAGCACATCTGCACTTACTCACATAAGGAAAGGCACCTGAATCCAGGCTGATTTTCTTATCACTCCGGGCACTTGTACACATGATGCCATTGCCATGTACACGGGATGAAAATGTCACTTTGTGCGGCTCAGTGGTGTCACGCTGTACACGTGCAAGAGTTTTGGAGGTTTAAAATGAATTTGCATAGTTGCAAACTACACTACATGCCCATGTAGTGTAGTTTGCAACATTGCAAATTGCAACGATGCAGCTGTCAGCTCACCCCCCGGCCGAGGGAGAGGCAGGCAGGCTCTGCAGAAAAAAAGAATTGGGCCCGTCGCTGCTTCTGCCTTCAGCAGGCTCCTGCAGCTGGCAGGATGCCTGGGGCCGCCTGGGAAGAGGCTGGCTTACCCCTGGGGCAGTGAGGGAAGGTGGCAGGAGGGCAGCTTAGTTTGCTGGTGGCAGGGATGGTGCACTGGGTGCTGGAAGCCCAGGTGGGCTGCTAGCTGGTTGGATGCTGCACTGGCTCAGAGGCACCCGACCCAATGCTTCCCCAAGCCTGGCCAGGCTTTCAGCACCCTGTGCACCATCCCTGCTGTCTTCTCTGGCCGCCAGCAACCACAGCCACCCTCCATTCACTTTCCCACGCTGCCCCAGGGGCAAGCCAGCCCGTTCCCAAGCAGCCCCAGCCGTCCTGCTAGCTGCAGGAGCCTGCTGAAGGCAGAAGCAGTGAGGGGCCTGATCCTCTCTTTTTTTTTTTTTGTCCTTTTTTTTTCAGCAGAGCATGCCCACCTCTCCCACAGCCAGGGGGCAAGCTGTACTGATGGGCTGAGCAGCCCCTGAGTTGGGGGGGGGCGGGGGGTGTCCTGGTCCTTCCCTCTGTGGGGGGGGCGCC